AAGCTTGAAAAAGAATATTATAGTTGGACTGGACAAGCACGCTTAGGAATCCAATGGACTCTCACACAACAGCTGGAATATCTGGAATTCGCTGATGACATAGCCCTATTATCACACAGACCACAGGATATGCAAGAAAAGGTCACAGCTTTAAGCGAAGTAGGAAAAAGAGTAGGCCTCAAAATAAACCACCAAAAAACTAAAGTACTTAAAGTAAACAATAAACAAACTGGAGACATAGTACTGGATTCTCAGACAAAAGACCAAGTAGAAAATTGTATACACCTTGGGAGTGTAGTCAGTATATCAGGTGGAACAGATGAAGACATTAAACGCCGTACAAATCTAGCATGTCAGACATTTACACAGCTAAAACCAACCTGGAAATCTCACATCTCAAACAAGACTGAACTAAGAATCTTTAACCTTAATGTCAAGGCTGTCCTACTGTATGATTCTGAAACATGGAGAACAACTGAAGCCACAACAAAAAAAAAAAAAAAAAAACAGACCTTCATCAACAGATGCCTGAGAAATATCCTAATATCCTGGTATGACAAAGTAGAAAACACCAAACTGTGGGAGATGAGTGGACAGAAAAATATAGAAGCGCAGATCTTAGAGAGGAAGTAGAGATGGATTGGTCACACCCTTAGAAAAGATACCAGCAACAGAGCTAGGCAGGCCTTAGAGTGGAACCCCCCCCCCCCCCCCCAGGGCACAAGACGCAGAGGAAGACCAAAAAGAACATGGCGACGCAGTGAACTTGAAGAAGCAGAGAAGACCGGGAAGAGCTGGGAAACCATCAAAAAACTAGCAAGAGATCGTGGAGAGTGGCGGGTTTTTGTCGAGGCCCTATATTCCACGAGGAACTCAAAGGAGTGATGATGATGATGATGTACAAGCACAGTTCTAATCTCTTTCGCTTCTAACAGAACTAATGCAAATTATTTAGTTGGTAATACCGACCTTTCAACGTAACGTCCATGACAATAATTAATGTTTACAATTTATTTCTAATCTATCCTAATCTTTACGGTTAGGCCTACCTGACGTCCGTAAATAAAAGTAAATAGAAAAAACGAGGATATATTCTCCTACTTGCATCTATGTCAGCCGTCCGTGAAAATTTAATATCTAGGCCTATATATATATATATATATATATATATATATATATATATATATATATATATATATATATATATATATATATATATATATATATATATATATATATATATACTAGTCAGATATTACCTGCGGGTCTTAATTTGCGTATCACTAATAGAGTCACTGATATAGGGCATTAGAAAAAAATTAAACAAAATAATAATAATATAATAAAAACAAATGAGTTGCATGAATCATGGCATGAATATAAAAATGATTGTGAATGGCGCTAAAGATAGCCAATCGGCCTAAATCCAATTTTTTTAACTATACAGAGAATATAGATTATTGGGCTAAGTTGCTGCTATAGCGAACGAATGTATGTAAAAATGATTTAGGAACACAAATGTGAAAGATAATTTGATTTAATATCAAATGAATGGACTATGTTTTGTATGTGTTAAAGTATAAAGTAGATCTGTCATATATATGTAAAGCGTAAATAGAAACAGCACAAAAATAAGGTCTTACGGCCTTTCATATTTTCCTTTTATATTAAAATGTTCTATTTGTTACCTTATAATGTCTAAAGTCCACTTTGCTTTCTCAGATATTTTTTTACTATATTTTATAGCTCTCACCATGTTTGGTGGATCTTTGTATTAATAAGTTGAAAGTAAAAGGAAGTGACTGAGTTTAATAGTTATCGTGAAAATCTCAGATGATACATAGGTGGGCTAATAAAACTGAACTGCCAACTATCAACACGTCCAACTTATTCAAATTGTGGTTTCATTCATTTATTTCATATAAATAGATAGATCCAGTGGCGTAGAATCCATGGCGCGAAGGGGTTCAATGAACCCGGGCCCACGACCATTAGGGGAGCAAGGTGCAAAGGAATTCATTAGCCCATGATTAACGACCAATCGGGACCCACATAAAGCCAAGGCCTCCCTAGGGGGATAAAAGCAAAGAAGGAAAAAAATTGAACTTTTGTAAAAGCTGATTTAGAAAACATTCCTTCAAATATTCTAAATGTTACACCCAACTTTATATTAATTTCAAAACGTTAACCCGTGTTTTCAGCTCGAGTCTGAACCAGTGGCTTGGGCGTCTTTATTCCTAATGAAAGGAACTGCTTTCATCGAGTTTATTGTAATGATGACTAGCCCAAATCAGACTGTGCGTTGGTGGGTAACATAGAGTCTTTCTCTGCACGTTCATAAAAACAGTTGATAGGTTTTCACATTTCTGACAACCGGAAGTATGCAGGATTGGTTTGACAATTACCCCAAGTAATGATAAATCACCACATTCCATCAAATAAAATGCTTGGTCAAGGTTAAGATGGTGCTTCTAATAGGAGTGGAGAGTGCGATCAGGCATTGCTTAAACAGATCAGCCGCTAGCGCACTATGTTCAGTGTGTTAAGGACAAACTTGATCTTCAATAACTTGCAGCTTTCTATGGCTTAATAAAAATAAATTACGCACGTATCTTAAGCTCACAGCACCTGAAGATGTGTGCTTCTGAAACCCAATAGGGAGAGTAAAGTTTCTAGGAAACTAAAAAAAAATGTGGTCATCAAGGAATGATGCAGTAACAGCATTGAGATTCAGATTAGATGTATTAAGATTGCTATACCCCCTAATGAGAAAATAAAACTCCTGGAAGCTGTACACTTAGAGGACAAGTTTAAACATCTCGATAGAGGTTACTATTATTCTGCATACTGTCGAGTACAAAATGTAAGCGGAATCATTGCGTCAAAAATGTTGGAAAATGAGAAGCAAGATCTACCTTGAAATGTTGATCCAGCTCCCCCCCCCCCCACCCCAATCCATGTCTGAAAGTTAAAAGACTGTTTGATGAACCCACTTCTAACACCAGTGAAGAGATACTTCAAAGAAAACACTCGAAACCAACATTTTACCCAGTTCTGGATGTTCTCTATTACATGACAGATTGTTTTGGGCATACACATTAAATTGTCAACATGTTTCAACGGTTAATGCTCAGTCCACGTGCAAACTGCAAAGGCTTACATGATGCCACCATTTTCCTAGACTCATCTACGAGATTGTAGTTTTTATCAATGTTTAATAGTTTGACACACAGAAGTGTAAAACGAATTTGTATTAGTTGTTTAATGCTGTTAGAAGTTGTACAACTATTGAGTTTTAAATAACTATTACTTCAACGGAGCCATAACTGAATCAAATGTAATGACTTTAGGAAATGTAGCCTACTGGTACATACAGACTACTCGATATTTTATGTCACACACTAAATTTGGCTTATTGGTAAAAGGGGGCCCACCAACATATCCTTGAACCCGGGCCCTTTGGTACCTTGCTATGCCACTGGATAGATCTAATGTTGAAAGGGAACTATACTTTTTTTTTGACCCTGTAAATTTTAAATGTAAGAATAGATCGCGTTGTGGCAACGAGCCATGTGTACTTGACCACTAATACAGTGCATGCACGCTTAGTTGCTAGACGAGTTGTAGTGACCCCTGTTGAGAGACTGGACCAAGCGATCAATGAAGCAGTCACCGGAATTGATGGGATCTATGTTTGAAGACAGACTTCAATAGTCAGAGCACAGAGTCAAGCCTAGAATCACGGACCTTGTAAGTTATTACCGTTGGCTCATTTCCTGTGTAGGTTAGAGATTACTTAAGTCAGTGTTTCCCAATCTGGTGTATGCGCACCACCAGGGGTACGGAAAGAGTTTGTAAGGGGTACGCGTTGCGCATAGTTAACTATACTGATTAAAAAAAAGAGAGATTTATTTTATTAATTAGAATAAAAGATCATAATTTTTAAATTCTTTGTATTATTTATTTTAAGTTTTTACAAACTTAAAGACAGTACTATTTTACATTTTAAGATGAATTTCTACAAAGATTAGGAAATGGATAGGGATATTTTTCAATGTAAACAATCTTTCCATTTTTTAAAGAATGTATTTGATGTGCCTCTGAAACATGCAAGCAATAAATTCTAGAAGGGGTACGCATAAGTCAAAAGTTTGCGAAACACTGAGAAACAGACGTTTGCTAGAGAACTTTTCCCTTCTCAGCCTAGAAAACAGGAACTTAATGTTCCGGGGACACTTTTTGACAGACACTTAAAACATGTATTAAAAAAAGATTTTATAATATAAACAGTCAAAATGCACAATAACTAGCCCGTCATTACAGATTATTTGATTTTGAAAAAAGCTTTTTTGAAATGTTATCTCCTAATCTCTTTAGAAATAATATTTTACTAGTCCAACTCTCTTTAGTGAAAGAGGAAAGGGAGAAAGAGAATAGGAAAGAAAGGGAGAAAGAGAGAAAGGAAGAGGAGAGAAAGAAAGGGAGAAAGAGGAGAAAACGAAATGTGAGAAAAGAGAGAGAGAGATAAGAAGAAGATACACATTGATACACAAACATGAGTACACAAAGATTAGTGCGCAAATATAACATTAGTCAACAAACAGTAGTACACAAACATTAATACACTAACATTATTACACAATTATTACTATACAAACATTGATTTGATACACAAACAATGGTAAACAAACATTATTGCACAAACATGAGTACTAAAACAAGAGTACACAAACAAGTACACAAACATCAGTACACAAACATCAGTACACAAACATCAGTACACATGAATGAGTTTACAAACACGAGACTGTAGGATCTAGAATGCCAATATTCAATTCTCCTTGTGCGACGATAGAGGTAAAAGGTATGAACGCGATCCTCAAAAGTCTCTTTTTTTTTTCTCTTATCTTATAAGTTGGTCAGTGATGGACTGATGGACTAACAAAAAAACGGGAGAGAGAGGTCAGCCAGCGCTGTCGTTCATAATAGGGCATTGTTGGAATGATGACAGATTAAAAAACAACAACATATCTTAGGCTTGAATCTTATTTAGAAGCAGACGCCAAGCAGATGTGCAAGACGTGGGGACAGTTGGAGAAACTCGCCCAGAACCGCGAGATGCCTGAAGGAAGCTGGTTGGTGACCTATGCCCCAGAAGGAACCACGGGCAGAGATGAGGATGAGATGAACAGAACTCTCTTACCTTGTAGTAGTAAAGCTAAGAGAAATATCCATTAACACGAATTGCCATTTCTCCGTTTCTTTCACGAAACACACCATGCAAATTACCACTTTTTGAATGCTTGAACGTAAATCCCTAAAATGGAAAGTTATCCAATAACTCCGATTTTTTTTTTTTTTTACCAAACGAAAGTGTTAGCCAAGTCACGTGCTGTGTGGCCTGCACGCGCCAAGTCTTTGATTTTGTTAAACTCTTAACAAACAGAAAATGCTACACGTCTTGTGGAAGAAAAAAAAAAAAAACAAGTCTGATCTGATTGGAGCGTTTTGTGTCTCGCGCTGTTTGTGAATGAAATCTTCTTCCAGTGACAGAGTTGCTGCAAGCTGTCGCCACGTGACTGTTGTGACTATTGTGGATTCTAATGGGCTTCCTCGAATAAAGAGTTCGTAGCGCGTGTTTCAGCGGCTGACCATCTCGATAAAAGGGGAGTGAGAATAGAAAAAGAAAGGGAGATTATTTGAGTAGAAGAAATGCATATATTTACTACTACAAGTATTAGGCTATTTTTTTTTTCATACCAGAATATTTGACCTGGGATCACAATTTTTTAAAATTTTTAAAACTGTAAGTTTCATCGAGTCCACATTCGATTTTCATTTGCACCATAAAATAGTCATAGCTAGTAACATGTTTCTGTAACACCAGGGCCGGTCTTAGGCCACTGCAACCTATGCGACCGCAGTGAGCCCCGCAATTTCATAGGCCCCGCGCGAAATCTAGGTGTAAATTATTAAATTAAACCATTGTAATTTATTATTAAAGGGTTCCTAGAATTGTCCGAAATTATTAAAATCTTCTGGAAACTCATGCAAATCTCCATAAAAACAAATTGGCATTTCGGGGTGACCGGGATGTCATTCAATATGGAAAACGCCAATCCTACTCGCAATTAAAAAAAAACAAAAAACAGTGATATTTTGCTAGTCGATAGTAAATCTAAATAGCAGATCTGAGTGTTTATCGGCTTTTTGTGGAAAAACTATCTACTGTAACGTTCATTTGACAATGATTTTGTACTTAGTAAAATAAGTAAAAAGAAACATTTATTTTGTACTACAAAATCTTAATTTTCACTTATTATCCTTATCCATACGTAGACTAGGCCACGCACAATCCGTTTCGCATAGGGCCCCGCAATCCGTAGGATCGGCCCTGTGTAACACCTTCCAACCATTAAGATAAAGGTAGATTCTATAATAATTTTTTTGTCACGGTAAGTTCACGGTTTACACAGAAATTTACGCTAACATTGTTCATGAACTGTCCAGACTTGACGTTCACTGGGTTGTCCATTGTCCTCTGTTTATAGACGAACGAAGATATTGGGATTCTTTCGGAATGATCTGTCCTTATTTCCAGCTAAGCTTTGAGGTGTGGAAGTTTGAGGCTTAACCTGGTTGAGCAGTCAGTGATGGCTGAGAAAGATCCTATGAATAACATACCAAGATAATATTACCAATAGATATGTTCTTTACCACAAGCAGGGCCAGCCTTAAATAACTGAAGAGGCCAAGGCAAAGTGAATTGAATGGCCTTCAATGAAATAGAAAATAAAAAGCAGTGAGAGAAAAAAATGACGCCGTTTATTTTAAACCTAGTGTACTGCAACAATTGAATTGAGCACAAGTTTATTAAAAGTTTCTTCTCTAAAAACAATTGATGTCAGTTCTTTGCGAGGCCCCCACCTTTTTAGGCCCTAGGCGGTTGCCTAGTTTGCCTATGCATAAGGCCGGCCTTGTCACAAGCACTGGCGGATCTGGGGGGAGAATCGCACCCCCCCCCTTCCTAATTTCTGGATCCGCTAGACGCTAATGGCCACAAGGTTATTCAGCTTTTTAGAGAAGTGGTGATCGAACGTCGTATGAGATTCATGAGACACTTATCATTAGGCAAAAAGAAATTCAGTTACCCAAGTCAGTCTTAGCACGAAAGCCGAAATGAAGGGGAGCGCAAAAAACTAAGTCGTCAATTGCCTAACATGGCATCGCACTTTTTTTTTAAAAGCCCGTCGAAATTCGGAAATATTTTTATATCTTCCGTGGCTGTATCCCCGCCTGTCCTCCCTTAAATCCGACCCTGGATTAGATTGATAAATGGCCACGAGTAGATAATTATCTCTTTAAAAGCACCGTCCTCCATTAAAGTGATTTAACCTCCACAGATGCTTTAATTGTTCACAGAGGTAACTAGCACCTGGCTCATTCCTTGACATTCAGAAAAAGTTAGGAGTTTTTTTGTGTTAAGTTAAGCATGTGGATTGTTTATGTTAAGCAAATTTCATTATGTCTTTGTTTGATATGTTTAGCGCTCAATTGCCTTTAGCTACAAACTTTTACCCCTTATTCTGGGAAGTTTCTAAAAATACTAACATACTGCTTTTTCTTGGGTCATTTACACCTCTGCTGAGTAAAGATTGGTCCAAACAAAGTATAACTTATTCTAGTATTGGTCAGGGGCAAATTGCAATTCAAATACTGAATTATTTGATCAAAATGGGGATTTTACTATTATTGTATTTTTTTAATTGCTAAAAAGGTATGATAATATATTAAATTGTCAATTTTACTAGATTTAAATAAGTGCTACATGACTTCCATACATATGACTTTCAATATTTGAATACTATCTGTTTCTTCCATTGCTTTATTTGGTATGCAGTCACTTTGTCATTGATAAGAAAATACAAGGCACAGATAAAAAAAAAAAAAAAAAACACACACACTTTTGTGGACCTGTCATGGAGGGGGTATTATGGGACACGGTTTCCCATGTTGTTTTTAGGCACTTAACAAACAATAGTCAGCTGGAATCAAAATGTGAACTCAAGTCCCCATGATAGCTAGCCAGCAGTTGTTGCTTCTCAGCCACAGGCCCCGCTATTAATTTAAAATGGCTCCTTAATGTATTCCTGAGTTAAAAGTGATCATGTTGATTTCTAAGTAGTTAATGTTTCTGTACCTAGTTTAAACACAAACAAGCACAACTAGTCAAAAATGTTCCAAATATTTTATTTGAAATACATCACAATGTTGAATTTATTTTCTCTCCAGCTATCCACAACTCATTTTCACTCCAGCTATCCACAACACATTTTTACAACTTACGTTTAGGTGAAATACAATCACCATTTCAACGTTAATAGAATTATCCTGACTGTATGACAAAATAAAATATAATCATATTCATTACAATATTTTCATAGCAACATTGTGAATAATACAAATCAGGAACATAGGACACGAATAAGTAACACATCAAATTGAATACGACAGCTTAGACAGGAGAGCCTTCTTGTTTTTCTCGTACAGCGTCCTGTAAGGACAAAAAGACATCATCATTTTTGGTTTCTCAAATTTTGGGGTTACATATTTTTTATTTTTTTTTTGCTTGTGAGATTATGTAAACAGTGAGATCAAATAATGGAACAAAACATTGACATAACTGCTGCTTCCTTTATTGGTTTGAGATGAAAAACATTTTAAGTTCTCTATGAATTCTAAAGGTATTACAAATCCTTGTTAATCATAAGATTAACTTGGTTGTTGTATATTTCCGGTTTTTTTACTTAACCTAAAACTGGTGATCAGTACAATAGCATTTTCTGATGAAAACTTCAAGATAAATTTAGTTAGACAAGCTTATTAAAAAGGGGTGACTGAATGGTGAAAGTGGGTTAAAATGGGAGTACAAGTCAGTAGAATGACAAGTGTTGATTGCAGTGTTGAAGTGAGATCAAGTATTGATTTTAATGTGTTTGAACATTATATATCAAGATTGAAATTGAAAGGTATATATTGTTAATGACATTTCAGATTGTTTAAAAGAATTTTTTTTTTCATGTTTCTTTCTTAAGCAACTCTTGATTCAAGAAAATGTAAATATTTATAGCATTAAGTGATTTGGGTCATGCACATTAAAAAAAAATACCAACCTTAAATCTTTCTTCTAGGAGGGAGATTTCAGAAATGAGATCAGTAATAGCATTTGTAATGGCTTCTTGAGGTGTGTAATCTGGGGTAGTCTGTATGCGAAGAACAAACTTGTGCTCCAATGGATGTGGGATCTTGTATCCGGCAAACAGAACCTGGGGGTCTTTCAGGAGCTGACTACAAGTAAAACAAAACAACATACATTTTTTAAATGATAATAGCAGATACCTGTATAATTTTCTACATTAGCAGAATATGTAGCAAAAGCAAGCATGAGTTGAGATAGAAGGATTTTTTTTACACACTACCAGTTCTTCTTTTATAGCCAGAAGTATTTCTTAGACACTTTTAAGCCTTCTTGGCCACATTCTTCCAACTGTTAGTTTTCAAATGAAGGGGTGTATTACAGCACGTTAATATATCCATGTTTAGCTCATATCTCCATTACATAGCACTACACACATAGAACTAGCCCTTTATTTAAAGTAGATACATTGAAGTCAGAAACATGTTGGCCAAGAATATTTGATTTTAAACACTGTCTCAAGTAAAAATTGTTTTTAAAAACCAGGATTTTTAAAAAGAAATTAAAGATGTCCATGTGCAAAACACTGTGTTGGCATTATCACACTTTTATTAACAGACTGGGTGCCTGATTGTGTGGTATGCGTGTTGGACAGTCATTTAGTCATCTTGATGGTCCCCTGTCATCCTGAAGGAGGTTTGGACTAGGAAATCAATTATCTTCAACTATGAAGAAACACTCAAAACTTGTAAAACAAACACAACAACTAGCAAAAGCATAACATCAATTTTACATCAAATACCTCCTAGATATGGAATTTAAATTTGTGTTTTTTTTTCAGTTGAAGCCAACTAGCAATGCATATATATATTTATGCGCTAAGTTTTTCCATATCTATCTAAAGATATTACTGATACCAAATTCATTTACTTTACATCAATTATATCCATAAACTTGTTTTATAAAAAACCATTTTAAAAGCTAAGATGTGAACCAAAAAAAAAAGACAATTGATCAGATTTAACTTACGTTGTTGTGATTAGATTTAACTTATGTGGTGATTAGATTTAACTTACGTTGTGATTAGATTTAACTTACGTTGTGATCAGATTTAACTTACGTTGTGATCAGATTTAACTTACGTTGTGATTAAATTGCCCAATGTGTGGTCTTCTTTATTCACTGTGAAGCTGGCAGCATTAGGAATTTTTGAATCTTTTTCTAT